GGGGGGGGGGTCGTGCTTAAGTGTAGAACTGGAAGCCCCTCCCCCTCTGGTGGTGCAGAGAGAACCCCCAAACTTGCGGACGAGGTTGAGCCGATCCCTTGAGCCGGTGTGTGTTCATGTGTGAAGCTACTTCAGCGTTTTGGCGTCTGGCATGGGGTCGCCGGTGGGGGCCTTCTGGCTCGTGGGTTTGGCGTCGTCCCTGGCGGCGGGGGCGTGGCCTCCGCTCGCCTGGCTGTGGGGCCGGCCAGAGGTCTGCGACGGGTGCCGGCGGCGGCCGTCTCCACTGGATGAGTGTCTCCTGCGGCGTCCTTCCTCCATTGGGGGCTGAAAGTGCAAATAGAGTTCACATTTAAAAAAAAAAAAAAAAAAAGATTTTATATGCCACAGCAACAGATGTCTTCATAACCACAACATTAAGGTCACTTTTGCTTCAACCCCCGCAGAATAACCCAGCTTACATCAATTCTGAAATCCTCCAGGCGTTTAAACTTGCTCAGGTACTCCTGAAGCTTGGGTTCGATCTCCATGGTCTTAGCTTTGGAGTATTTGAGAAAAGCCCAGAACTTCTCCAGTCCATACAGCTGGCCTGAGATCAGGAGACAGAAAAGGTTATTGAGCTGTGGCTGAAAACTTACTGCATTATTCAATCTTATTCCATGTCACGATCTCTCGACAGAGATGGTCTCTGATGTGTGCGATATGCTTCCTCACCAGCCTCGTAGTCTTTCATGGTCTCCTCCTGGAAGTCCTTAAAGATGTCCGGCCTGAACTTTTTCTCCAGGCCGTAGCTGTAGTACCTGAACAAGCACTCTAAACCATACCTGTGACACAAAACACACACACTATTAGTACCTCACACAGAAGTGTGACAAGCAGGCCAACACAGAAGGATAAATAATTATAAATGAGCAGGGATCCTCTGTTTAATCCGACATCAATTCATGATCAGCTTCTTCCAAAAGCTGCCGCTAAGCAAGCACCAGAGTTGAAATTTAGTTAAATGGCATCTTCAACCTGTTTGTGCCCATTTCAAACCACTTCCCCACAGACTGTACAAACAAAAGCTGTCCAATGAAGGCTCTCACCTATAGCCCTCTTTCCCATCCTCTACCACCAGCTGTCGGAACTCCTCGTACATCTTTCTGTTGAAGTGGTCGCGCAAGAAGAACGACCAGAAGCGGAAGAGCGTGTTCATCTCCTGCGACTGGCCGATTCCCAGCCTCTTCCTCTCTGCGATTGGTGGAAGATTTGAGAGAAAATGTCATCATTTTGCCCGGAAGGCATCGGTGGTGTGGCGTGTGTATGGGCGGGTGTGGGACAGGTACCGTTGAGGCAGCGCCGGCGGTACTTGTGGTAAACGTGTTGCGTGAAGCCGTTTTCCTTCAGCAGCTCGTGAGATGGGTGCTGGAACTTGGGAAGGGACTGGGGCGTGCAACCGATGGTGCCCATGGCGGGGGTGCCCTCTGATGGGCTGGCGTTGGAGCTGAAAGACCGGAAGGTGAAACACTCAGGTGATGGCGAGTTCAGAGTGTGTGCTCTGAACAACCACAGCAGGGCACAAATACTTGTTTTCTTTTTTTAAAACTTCAGCCAAAAACAGAATGCTCAACATGGTTAGTCTATGGTTTGCCAACTTCTGTAAATGTAGCAACATCACACTCGCCAAGAAAACAGCTGGATCAAACGGGAAAAAAAGAGACCGATCCAACAGCTTGTGTGGCATGAGGTCTCACCTGACGGAGGCTGTGCGGGAGCGGTGCTCCCTGGAGTCCATCACCCAGCCGACGTGGCACTCCATGGGTGGGTTGGAGCTGTGCCGGGTCTTCCTCTTTCTTGGCGTCTGGGAGAAAAAACGCACAGTGAATGGCGCTCACGCTTATAAGGCCGGGAGACCGGTCTGCCGTGGCTTCGCTCGTACCTTGGCATCCACGGGCCGGCTTTCCTTCACCACCGGGTAGAAGCGCGGCGTCATGGTCGGGTCTTTCCGATGAGGGGTGCGAGGCGTCCGGGGCGTGCGGGCACTGCGGTAATTGGGCGAGTCAGGCACGGTGGTGGGGAGGGAGCGGGCTGTCGAGGAGGGTTCGGGCGCTCCGAAGAGTTTGTTTGCCAAAGCGTCTGTGGGGACTGAAGGCAGACGACCGAAATAAACATGAAGCATTTCATCTTTAAACTGCTCAGGAATTCAGTCCCTGAAGTGTTCATCAGACATAGAGCAGCCTCTTTATTTTTGTCTGTCTGATGAGGACCTACAGGGAGCAGGAAAACTGCTACGGAAACAAATGATGTTCCAGCACAGTCCTAAGACCTTTGTAAGAGGAAACAATGGAGAAGAACTCAGCAGAACTTCACTTAGTGATTCAGACTACGGTTGAGAGCTGGCTCGCATAACAGATAACCACGAAGCGCATTTGTGTCCTTACTCTGCTGGGGCCTTGGGGGACCTGGAGGGACTTCCTGGTTGGGATCGACGGGAGGTTCCGGGGTCAGGCAGTCGAACTGCTCACGACTGATCAGGTGGACCTTTTTGAAGTTCTCCACCTCTTGCTGTAAAACAGAGAGAATCCAGAGTTAGTGAGGACCTGAAAGAATCTCACAGCATTCAAAACACCAATATAGGGAGACAACATGAAAATAATTTGTTTGTTTATGAGAGATTATAAAAAAAAAAAAAATCTTAAAAAAAGGTAAACTGAATCCATGGGCTGAAAACTAAACTCAACATTTAAAGATAAAAATATCAAACATGAAGAACCCTGTGAGAGGAATGGAAACGGACCTTATCTTCAGCAGCCTGGAGACTGAGATGCAGCAGCAAAACGCAGCTGCCCAAAGCGCTTTTCTCTCTCTCATATCTGCCGTCTAACCGTTCCACCATCTGCCTAACCACTGGCCGTCTCACACCTACACACACCCTGAACCTTCCATAGCAGTCTGTGTCCCTCCAACAGCCCGTTTGTTTCTAAAAAATGATCCCTTTTTCAACGTCTAACTTACATGCAGCCTCGTATCCTCGGATCTCTGAGAGTCCATCTTGGTCTCCCCCTGCAGCCCCTCAGGGCGAGGACTTGAATGTGGGGGTCTATTTATAAACGAGCGACCAGCGTTCTACACACCGCTGGATGTGAGCAGGGGGGGGGGACACGCGAAAGTCCCACAAAGAGCTCAACAATGGGACAATGGACGGCAATAACAACAAAAACAAAACAAAAACTACCATTTGTCGGGGATTTGTGTCCTTATCCAGAAACGGCTGTAAGTGAAGGAGAAAAGAAACGCCCCCGAAACCATGGTGACATAACGCGGCGGCTGTAAGCGTTGCTTATCGACCCCGCGTTAAAATAAAGACTGTGTCGGGGGGGGGGGCGGGCTTACCTTGATGGTGGCGTACTCGGGCTCGTACGTGTCGTCCCACAGGTCCTGCTCGTAGTAGAACAGCCCGTCGTTGATCACCTTGACCAGCTCACTGGAGAGTTTGGCGCGCGACGTGTGGTGCCCTGTGCGGTCACCCCCCGGGTGCTTCCTCAGGTAGGGAGGCGTTTGCGTCACGATCAGGATCTTGTTGACGTCGTGGTCATCCAGCTCGCCGTCCGTGTCCTCGTCCGACCAGTCTGTGAAGGTGTTGCGGCGTCCATCCATCTGCTCCATCTCCTCGTCGAACATGAAGTCCAACTCTTCCGGCTCATCTTGCTCTGTTCCGTCCTGATCACACAATCGGGGCCAAAGACTCAACTGTTACGAGTTTGGATGAATCAGCTTAATCATACACAATCTCTTTGTACCCCCCACTTTACTGGAGCGATGTCGTCTGATTACAGTAAAAAAAAAAAATAACTTTTTTCCTCACCTTATTTCCTGAGGTAGCAGGGGAGGGTGAGGAGCCGGGTTGGGGGACGGGGGATCTAACGGAGTCATCCTTTTCCTTCTGCTGTAATAAGGGGGTCTTCATCGGTAAAGCCACCAGAAGAATAAGGGAGGGAAGAGGTTGAGCATGTGAATAAAAAAGTGCTTACATTTTTTTTTTTTTTTTCAATAAATGATTGAAAGCTGCTTCTCTGTGTTCAGAGAAGCACAAATGTACCTAATGTTGAACACTGAAACAACACAGAGTGGCTGTGAAGTTTGACTCAGAACTGAATGCCAAAACATGCTTCATTCACTCTACACATCCTGAAAAGTGTTCACCTTCTCTGAGCTGACCTTGGGTCGGGCTGGGGAAGGTCTGGGTCTCTTCTTCACCTCGATCCAGGACTCCGAGTCCAGGTCAGGGAGGCTGGCCGAGAGGCCCTTGGGCATTGTTTTGAGGTTGGAAGTGTCTAATTCAGCCTTGGTCTGTTGCTCCGATGATCTGGACCCTGCATCACACACAGAGTGCCAGGGGATATATGGATAAAAACCTCCTTTGAAGCCTTACATTTTAAGAAATAGATTTTTAAAAAATCTATAAAAAGATGGCCCTAACCACATGCTCACCTCTGGGCTCCTCGGGCATTTGCCTCGGGACGAACTCGGGACAATTGATGAGTTGGGAGAAATCGGTGTGTGTGTGGTTAGGAACGTTTAGGCCCGGCAGCGGCCACTTCTCAGGGTCCACCTTCCGCCGGATCTTCATGTCTATCACCTCTACCTCTTTACTATCTTTCAGAGCCTGGCCGCAGAGAGATCACAAAAAATAGCTGGGATTTAATTGCCTTCGTGGAGTGCTCATCAGGCTAAAACAGACCAGCAGAACTATCTCTAACAAAGTTGTACACGGAACAAAAATCTGCTGCTTTGTCTATCATCAGACACGGAAAGGTTATGGGTTCTACGAGCATAACTACAAGGATCCACAGCCATTTCCTTTTTAACTGAGATCTCTGGACTCCTTGTTGTTTTACAGCATGCTCTGCAAATGATTCTAGCCTACTCCTTTCAGACTCCACTGCAGCTCACTAATTAACAGATAAGTTGTTTACACTGCAGATACTTTGAATTCCAAGAGTTAATTGCTTTTTAGACAGCCTTGGACAAAGAATAGCAACACATAATAAATCGACACCCAATTGCTCGAAACCCTTTAAAAGAATGGCTTCAAAAATGCTCTTTTCAAACAAACATACGCACAAAGGCCCCTTAAAGAGGAGAAGCAATCCTCTATAGAGCCAAATGTAGAAACGCATTAAATTACATGTATTAAACAAACATAAAAACTTGCTATAAGTGGAAATAGAAGGTCAGAAGTTAAATAAATTTAAATTCAGAGGGACAGGTGTTCTGACTAGCAGCTGGGCAGCATGAGAGCACAGGGCTCTGCTACAGGTATACACTGACTAAGAATTAGACTATAAGACAAGATGATTAATATGGTAATATGGGGGTAAATTAAATGTTAATGCTTTTGAATTTTCCAGAAAGCAAACATAAACCTGTTAACACAGAAAAATGTCATCTCTCTCACTGGTACAGGTGAGACCAGTGTTCGGCATCCCTTTGAAAAAGTTCCATTAAGAGGGACGTTAAAGAAATTAATTCTGAGCAGGGCTTAAACATATTTTCTGCCATATTTCACACAGCAGGGACCGTTGGCCCTTCAAAGCCCTCCCTCCAAAATAACCACAGGTCTGAAATGCTGGGGGTTCTGGTTGCTCCGAGGCACTTGTGAAAATAATGACTTTGGATCATTTTTCTATAGTTTAGCTGAGACTAGAACTCCCTACCTCTAGAATAAGGTTGACATCAGTGGTGAGGGCCTGCACTCTGTGGAAACTGGCTATAAGCCCGACAGGCAGGAAGCCCTCATCGTCCATCTTCCTCCGCAGGAAAAAGTCCCTCTCCAGGTTGTCCAGGCTGAAGTAGTACTCACTACAGGAGGGAACAAACAGGGCAATAAGGGGTTAGTGTCATACAACTGACTAATCAGAGCTCTGTTGTTACTTTCCTTTGCCTTTCGGGAAGAAAAAAAAGGAAAAAAAACAAATAAATTAACTAGTGAGTAACTTGTGATTATTCTGGCTAACTCTGCTTTAATGCCCAGATCAGAGTTTTAAAGCTCTCTCCATTAATGTTCAGTCAGAGAAGAGACATGAGGAGCTCATCATTTCTGCAGCACATTTGGACAATTACCATGGCGACGGCTCAAGCCGTTCCTAAATCATACTTATCGTTATTTCTTACATCTGCCTTTTGATGTAGTCCTTCAGCAGGTCCTGGTCGACCGTGTAAAGGTCGTTGCTGCTCATGTTGTCGTAGTAGTAGGTGACGGAGTTCCCAAACTTCTGGCTGTAGGGCCCGTCTTTTACATCAAAAGACTTGTAGCTGTAGTGATAGTCGTAGTGGCCTTCAGAGGGGAGAGCCCAAAGATTAGACAGTTTATTAACACCACTTGTGATTCAGATTTTTTGTCTCCAATTGCTTTACTCATAAATATTTAGTATATTCAGATAGATAGTCTAAACTGAATCATGTATATCAACACTATTCTATATTGTAAGACGACAACATGCTAATAGTTAACAATATAACACTCAAAACTGAAATCCTATATACTTCAATTCTTGTTTCATTCTAGTTTAAAGAATTGTCAGCGTTATCTGTACATCGGCTGTATCCATACTTCTTTTTCAAGTATGGGAAAAGGGCCGAGTAATGGGAAGCAAACGAGGGAACACGGCAAATGAGGGAATGGTGTGAACGGGAGACGGAAAATTCTGCCAAAGCAAAAAGGCCTTCTTGCAAGTTCCAGGGCCTTTACTCTTTCTATCAATCTCTTTTTCCTGTTAAGAAATTTTTTATGTAAAGAATTGCAAACAACCAGACGTTTGACACATCTATCAGATCAGCCAGATTCTGTTTTCCCCAAACATAGCTGAGCAACCAACTAAACCAGTAAGTAAAATGACAAGTGTAGCATGAAATCATCATTACTACAAAACTTTATAACAAAACTTTAAACGATCCTTGCAAGGTTATGATGGACCTGCAAGAAAACCATACACCACAGGTGATGAATCAGATATTTGCCCTTTATACTAGGTGTTAACAGGGAGCATGTGCTCTGACGTGACCTAATTTCCCTTCTGCGATGAATACAGTATTCTATCTATCCAACCTCATATCTGAAATAAATCGGCCATACATTAGTGCTCGGATCAGAGTTGTGAAATTTCTCTTCAGAGATGTTCAATCAGAGAAGAGACATGAAAAGCTCATCACTTCCGCAGCACCTCTGCAGGTAAAGTCTTGACTCTTGAGCAGGTTTAACAGGTCAGTCAGAGGCAGTGTTGGGTAAGTTACTTTAAAAATGTAATCCGTTACAGTTACAAGTTACTTTGTTTAAAATGTAATTGTAGTGTAACTTTTTCGATTACTTTTAAAAAGTAATGTAACTAATTACTTTTGATTACTTTTTGATTACTTTAAGGTTTTAATGAGTATTAACCCATGATTAATTTTAGCGTTTTATTATTAGCTATTGGCCGCAGCTAGCACTTCAAGGCTAACGTCTTGTTAATGATCATAAACAACGTAAATAAATAAATCGGAGACAAGGGGCGCAGCGACGGCAGGTCAGTCGTATCCGGATACAACATTTTAGTATCTATACTTTTTTAAGTATCGATACTTTTGACAACCCTAGTCTGAAATGTAGGACATGTCCGGTAAAAAGAGGACGTCTGGTCACCCTACAGTTGGGTAGGCTAGGTAGGCTAGGCTAGGCTAGGTCATAGACATCGATAAACGTTCGTCATGCATCAACACCAAACAGTCAAATATTAGTAAATCAATACGCTTCGTCTATCAGTGAGTTGCATATTTTGCAAAGGTTTTTCTTTATATTTAAAAGAAAATGTAACTAAATTTGTAATTCTTAATATTTTCGGAAGTAACTGTAACTCAATTACATATTTTCTCATTGTAACTGTAACGAATTACAGTTACTCTTTTTTTGTAATTAAATTACGTAACGTCGTTACATGTAATCCGTTACTCCCCAACACTGGTCAGAGGGCATGATGACTGGCATGATTACAAAATCTGGTAAACGTCAACCACATAATTATTAGCGTGCTAGCATCACATGATAAGGAGACAAAGAAATCTATGAACAGAAGCATGGTATTTTTTCATTATTCCAAATCTGGAAGGAAATGTTCATTGAACGTAGCCTAAACAAATCCTTTGTCTCACAAAATGTCAATAAAAAAAAGTATAAAAAAACCTTACCTCTACCGCGGCCTCTTCCTCGTCCTCTTCCTCTCCCGCGTCCGCGACCTCTGAAACCACCGCGGAATGGCGCCCCCTCGCTCTTCACACTGGACACCTCGTCGTGGTCATCGCGCCACTCGCGCTCGTACTTTTGGCTGTGCCAGTCTAGAGGGAAAGCGTGAAAGTCCCATCAGCAAAAGCAGCAGCACAGCCAAACCAACGTCAACCCGAGCCAGCAATTAACTTTAGGTCTGATTGCATCTCCTCTCAGCTGCTAGGACAATTTTCAGCTTTATAGGATGAGCAGCAGAACCATATCTACTGTTACTGTACAGCAGTCTGATAGTTACACTGATGAACTCTGACCTCTGAGGTCGTTCCTGGCGTTGGGGGGAAGCCGGAGGTTTTCGTTTTGCCTGCTGTTGTTCCTGGAGGCCGAGCGCTCTCTGGGACCCTCGGACTTCACATCGATCTTCAGAGGAACCCACTTCTGCTTGTTTCCTGTTTGGGGCAACGAGATGAGACACAGCAAGTTTCAGTCTCGGACAGCATGGGTATTCTGAGATGAGGCCATTCAACTTAAACTGAACAGAGGAACAGGGATCTGTACAATTTTATGAATGATGATAGCGTTTAATTTTAGTTGGATACAAAGTTATTGATTTAAGCAATTGATTTGAGGGTATCCTTAAGATAGTGCCTTTATTAGAATCCTAAATTCTATGTATTGCCCAATGAAAAATGAATTATATATATACACACACACACACACACACTAAGCAGTGGCATCCTTCAGTACCTCGGCTGGCCAGCAGGCGGCATCAGGGATGCGTGCTTGGAGGGCATTTGGGTTTGTGGCAGATGATGCACACAGCACACAGATGAGGGAGTGACAATGACCGTTTTAGGAGATGTGGCTTTGTATAGGTAAGGGATCAAGAACGAGAGATGTGGGAAATGGGCGATGAGACTGAGAAAAGAACACATGGGGCCACTAACGATAATAGGAAAGAATGATGCAGTGATTTCAAATCAACCTGTAGGTCTGCAGTATTTTATGGATCGGAACTTCTGTCAGAACAAACGAAATGTTCATAATGTGGTAATGGATCAACGGTTCCTTGTGCTTCAAAACTGAGATCAGAGTTGTGTAAATTCTCTTCATTTGTGTCAGAGAAGAGACATGAAGCTCATCATTTCAGCAGTGTGTCAGCACTTCAGAGCTTAAAGATATCAGGCCGGCTTTAGAGAAGACTGTCCTTTCAAACAAAACTCATCCAAAAAAATAAATGGGAGTTCTTATGGTCACAAACCTCTCAGCAAGAGAGGAAAAGAGGAGGATGCCCACTTTAAAAGGTAAACGAGAAGTCTGCTCACAACAAACAAATCATGTTAAGGTCAGAAACACTCCCTGCCCCCATGCCTTGCTAGTTTGAACCTTTAACTGCAGCTAAAACTGCAACTAGCCATTACCAGCATCTATTCAGTCATCTGTTGTTAGTACCATTTTGTTTTGTTTTTCCTTTAAGTAGCCTGTGATCAACTTTGTGCTGACAATGACCCAGGTTGTGCAGTTTCTTGGAAAAGTTGTGAAACGCTTTTTCAGCTCAGATGAAAAATGGAACGCCGTCAAAGTGATCCTGCTCCATCTGATCGGGAACAGGACCTTTGTCAAAAACTGAGGTTAGAAAATAATCGAATTCATTCATAGACTCAAAGCTATATAAAAACCTTACCATTAAAACCAAAATAATGTCACACTCAGTGCACATACGAAAATCTGACAAATGAAACCACAAAAGCTGGCGGTTTGCTCTCTGTTATGACATCAGATGAGGATGTGCCAACTTTTCTGTCTACATTATTGGAGTTAAACCACTGTTTTGGATCTCTACTTTAAATGACAGAAATCATGTCAAGAAATATGTGTTTGAAGAACAAAAAATAAACTGTCCTTTCCAAGAAAGTTTAAGAACGTGAAACTCAAGACAATATCCATTAAACCTCCTGGACAGACTGGTGAGGTATCGGTCTGTTCCATCTGACTTGGGATACATTACTATGCATTGGCTGGGCATCTACTGAACTCAAAATAATAATTTAGGTTTGAGCAAACAAATCATAAATTCTTATACAACTTTTAAAAAAATGTTTTAAGATAGTCCTGTACTGTTTCATAAGAACCCAAATTAAAGATACAAAATTCTGCCAAAGGAAAAGTCAATCCTTATAAATGACATTAATCTCCACTGGCAAGTACCCATCCCTGTATGTGCATTGTAATATCATGGGATGAGGAGTAAATGCATTTGTTTCAGCTCTAACATACTTGTTTTATTACGTTGAATAAACTTTAGCTTTGTTCTTTCAGCTTGGTTTAACTGACTCATTGTGAATATCATCTACTTTTAATTGACTGCTGTAATTAAGATAGCATTAGCAGTTGGAATAATCCCTCTCACACAAAAAGTAGTCTTTTAGTTGCTTAAATGATTTTAGACGTTGCATAGTGAAATGAAAAAACATAAAGCTGGCCTTCACTTCTGACACTTGTTGGGCAAACTCTGGCCAGCAGATGGCACCAGTGGAGGGATCGGGTCCTTTTCATCCCTTTTGCTGCAGCGGAGGCATTTCATGGCAAAATTCCAAGCTCCTTTACTATGCTCAGCATGTTAGGAATGATTTAGAATTTTACAGAAGATATAAACCTTTTTTCTTTGGCCCGTTCTTCTGGGAGTCGTCACTGTTCTTCTCCTCTCCCGAGTCGTCCGACTTGGCCTTCAGGTTCTCCTTGCTTTCCTCGTTGCTCTCTCTCTTTTCCTTTGACTCCTTCTTAGCGCTGGGCTTTTTCGGACCCTGGCAAGGAAATGCGTTCAAAGGACAAAATTTTAGACTTTAAGAGTCCATTAAATCAGTGAGGTTTTTTTTTTTAGAGCAAATACTCCCATCCGTCAATGTCCGGCTACAATGAACTATTTAAGAGAGATATCAAACTGGCTAAAGTCAAATACTTATGTACACACAAACACACTGCCTGATAAAAGGTGGTTGTGTTTGAGCTCAAAACAAAATCTTTCACTCGTCAAACCTGTAGAAATACTAAAACCCATGTGTGGGCAAGCACAAGTCCATTTGTAATACTCACTCACACATGCATATACACGCATTCATACATACATACATACACACACACATACATACAACCATACATATTTATTAAAAATAAGGCAACAGCTCTGGGAAAATACTGGGATCCGGTGTGAAAGCGTAACACACCAAACTATTTGTGCTTCTCAGTTACTGTTGTGCGGAATTACCACCTTAAAAAACAATCAGATTATCCCGAGAAAAAAAAGGTGATATTCTCTTATCTAGTTGCCAAATTGAATTGACCGATGGTTTGCAGCTTTTACATAGCTGGTAAAAATTAAAAGCCTTTTTTTCCCCATTCCAAGTTGGCTGCTATGTGCAGTTAATCCCATTTACTTCGGAATTGAAACTTCCATATGTATCAAATACCACCAAACTGTTCAGAATATCATCTTTTTTTTCTCGGGATAATCTGCTTGTTTTTTAAGGTGGTAATTCCGCACAACAGTAACTGAGAAGCACAAATAGTTTGGTCACCTCAAAAACAAGAAGGAATTTATTATTTTTGTACTTGCGGCCATCTTTTCCAAAAGACCAATAAGAAACAGTCATATGCCCCCCTTTTTCCCTTCCAACTGTTTGTCAAAAAGAATTATGGTCAGTTTTTGGCCAAGTCCTAAAGAGATGTTGAACACCTTTCAATTTTCCTCAATGCCTTCAACTTTTAAGAGGGCCAAAAATCCCATCCCATGCAGATGTTAAGAGCATTCAGACCAAGCATCATTAGTTCAGATTTCAGAATCATTTTTGATCTGTTTTGTTGAATCCCACATCCAGGTTTTGGCCCCTGGAGTTTAAACAGTTGGGAAATTATTTTCCGGTGGATGGATTAAAACTTCGGTAGTGTGTGTTTCGCTTTCATGGAACACCTCAATGTTCACAAATTAAAGTCATAATATTGAGCGAGTAGGTGTTGAGCCCGTTTGCCGCTTCGTTAAGCAAACATCCTGGCATACACTGCAGCTTCTTTCCAAAATTCACTGCAAAACTGACGTCTTTTCAAATTCCAAAGGAGGGAAAATGGATCTGCACATCAGCCTGACATTTTCCACATGAGTGAGCGGGTCCTCTGCGGGGAATGGCAAGAAGATTTCATTCAAATTCTTATACTTATGCTAATGATGAAGAAACTCATTCAATAAACTATTAAAATAGTTTTAAAAACACAGGGTCTTGTGTGGATTAAATCATACTGTCTGTATGCCAGTCTGGTGCGTAAAGCTAACAGTTACAAAGAGAGATTTACAAATGGTTTACGTTGTCGTTTGTTCACCATTTCCCCAACACAAATGCGGCATAGTTAAAAAAAAAACAAAAAAAAACAGCGATCATACATCTGAGCCTGAGCCAGCTTTGACTTAACGAATACAGAGTAGTTTGACAAGCATGAGCTGGCCTTGCTGGTTATCTCTGCTCACAGAGCTGATATCCACGTTTATTTGAATTGTGCCGAGTTCAGCCACTCGCTATCAGCGACACACATATCTGCAAACTCTGACAATCCTCATGAGTTTTTCATACGGGTCACGCAGAGCATTGGTCTCAAATTAGGTGAGTAAGTGACAGACAACGCACTTCGTACCCTGATGCCATTCGTTTGTGCACAAACTCGCACACAGTCCAGCCTCCGAGGAATTGCATCGAAAACTCATCTAATCTCCGTAAGCTAAAAGTTCAGTCCAAACGTGCGCCGGCCTCAAAATGCTTGTTTCCCAGTGCCCACACCAAAAGTCAATCACAACCAATCTGTAAGTAAGATGGTCAGCAACTATCCGGAGAACCTCAAGGAATTGTCCGATCATGTGATGGCGTGGCATTTATTGGCTTACATTCACTTGTGACTGCACGTCTAGGAGCTCTACACTTAGCTGCCCACTAAAACTAAAGACATATTCTTACATTTTTTATAAAACTTTCTATAAAAAAAAACAGACTGCTTGTGTCACGGCTGTGATATTTTAACATATGTAGCCGAGTACTCCCAAGAACTCAAACAAACCTTTTCTTCAACATTTAAATGATCAGAATGTTTCTAGTGTGTCTGTCTTGTTTCAATCATTTGTAAAATGCTGACTAATAATGAAACAATATTTAACTGAGTAACTTCTCACAGTCACTAATGAGACCACTAGGCTAGACTTTTAAACAGGTAATAAAAGTGGCGAGCTTCTTGACTTTGGTGACAAAAATGGATGTAAACCCCCCTACCCCCCCCAATCCTCCATTCACAGAATGTTTTACAGTTTGGTAAATGTTTCCTCGCAGGAAAAAAATTAAGCCAACTCATATTTCAATTCGAATATAGGAAGGGAGTTGAATTTGAAATGATCAATGGGGTGTGGGGGGGTCAGATGATCGGACACAGAGACTGCAGGCGTCATGGGGCTGCAGGGTGAACTTACAGTGATTCTCCATGAGTCTTTGCCCTGCCTGACAGTCGGCGGGCAGGACACGGTCCGTGTCACTGCCTCCATCTGAACAGAGGGAGGGAAGAGCAGTTTAGATAGGACAATGAGGTGGACCATGAAGAAACACACACACACACACACGTTGAGTATTTTTTACCATCCTCCACCTATTAGCAACTACAAACAAACAAAAAAATAAAATAATGGTACTTCTTTGTAGATCAATTAAATTTGGTTCCTAGTACCTGATCTAATGGTCAGTGACTCCTTCCTACTCCCCCCGTCATAGTCTTGTTGTCCTCTGCCTTTGGGCAGAGTGACATAGACTTACTGGCCCTTTAAAAGCATTTTCGTGTATGAACATCTTCCTGGTGTCAAAAATGATAACGCTACAGAAAAATACTGGGTTTAACTAGTATCTCAGTGGTCACTTGGCTAATTCCCCACATGAGGTCTGACACACATTTTGGGCAGGTTGTTTCAAGAGAATTCTGTACAGATGGAATCAATGCTGCAGTGTGCTCTCGGAATCGACAACAGGATGTAAAAACAAGTGTATGCGTTCGCAGCAAATCTCATACGGGGGGAAATGTCGATTTGTGTATCATTTCTTTTACGAAAAATTGACTAAAAGAAACTGTGATCCTGCAGTAACAACTCAACAGTGTCAGGATTAAGACGAAAACTGAATTATGACAGTACAGACATTGAACAGTGAGGATGAAATCTATTAGGTGTGAATGACAAACACATGATGGTCAGTGAGAATGTTAAAGGCAGAAAAGGTCCCGACACGTGGAGACGCCTAAAGGTTTTTTGTCACCACACTGGCCCGTTCTCTCTGAGTAGTGTGAGAATGTGTTTACAAAAAATTATCAAACTGGGAGACACTCACCATTTCCTGCTTTTCAACTCTAAAGTTATTCATTTCATTTAACTGTACATAAAAAAAATATTTCAATTTGTCGACTACAATTTTAACTTAATTATTTCTACATTAACTAAACCAACAAGTGTTTTTATACCTAAGACAGTATAAATGATTATCGGCAGCTTTATGCAGGCCTTAAGAAATAAAAGAAATTCTGATAACACCAATCAGTCTTTTCTCAATGTAAACCTGCCAGAGAGAGAGGGTTTTTCTCTCTAAATAATCAAATCAATTAAAAACAACAATAATTATAGTTACTGACGCATAAAACAGGGTCAAAACTGAACAAAAACTGACAGTGAGGGTAACATTTTATGCTTATGCAAGCACAAGCTTCACTGCTGAAAACTACAGAGTCACTCTTCTCCCATGACGCCACTCGGGAAACACCGATTCGGAGGGTCTTTCCTTTTTTTTCCCAGTATCTGCTATTTGCACATTCCTCAGAAGTACTTCTGGTAGTGCCAAGTGTGTTGTTACACTGACAACAACTAATATCAAGCAAGTGATCAAGCTTGAGGCAGTTTTAAACAGCTGATCTAATGCCAGTCAAATCTAGATAATAGGGCAATAAAAACTAAGTCTCGGGATGAACTTTAAGCACAGCAGTGAACTCAAAGGCACGGCACTCACAGCCAGCAGAAACCCCGCCTTTATCAGATTTCAGTGTCATTTTCCCAGTCTGAATAATCAGAGGGGCTCAGTGGCTGATTTACACCTTGACATGTTACTTGATAGATGGCACACTCCAGCATCCCTATGAATAGCAGCAGCTAAGATCTAGTGGAGGTTTCTTTTGGAAGGGGGGGTCCCCCTAAAAGGACATCCTCTTCCAGCCCTTTTAAACTCAGAACCCTCCCGCCATCAGTTATTTCTGGCGCCGATGACATGGCCCACATTTCCCTACTCGAAGACATGTGGTCTCAGTCATGTTCGCTCATACCTGGCTGCTTAAAATAGGGGAGGTTACTGAGTAGTTCGCGCAGTGATATACAATCATCCAGAGAGCAGAAATAGGAAACAGTTCCAAGGGATACTGACTGCTGCTGTAAGAGGACACAGATTAGAGGCATCCCAGTGCTGAACTGCAGCTATGGGGGACACAGGGATATGTCATATAAGTCTATTTGCTGACTGGATAAAATGGGTGTGAACACCTAAGATAGATGGAGACTATGAACTTTGGGAAGCTGACGTTTAAGATAAAAAATCTTATTTCTCATTCTCTTGTTTTCTACTTCTTTTTCCTTGAATTTATTAGTTAGGAATTGCGCTAAATATTCAAAGGATTCTGAAAAAAACTACAACATTGAGATGGCTTTAATAAAACCTCCAAGCCGGCCGATTCAGAGCTAGAATGGACAAAATGCAAACGCTGCAGTCGAGGGTGTTCTGGCCTCTGTCTGTTACCTCCTCTGTCTGGTTCCTCCTTCCGATCGGTATTAATCTCAGGAATAAAAGAGGGACTGGCAGACTGAGAGGAGGTCCTATGGGGAGAGAAGTTTCAGCCAGAGACGACCAAGCTAAAACCACACTGCTCTAAAAAATAAAGGGAACACTTAAACAACACAATGTAACACCAAGTCAATCACACCTCAGAGAAATCAAATGGTCCAACTAAGAAGCAACACTTTCACATGCTGTTTTGCAAATGGTATTGACAACAAGTGGAAACTATAGGCAATTATCAAGACACCCCCAATAATGGAGTGGTTCTGCAAGAGGTGACGACAGACCACTTCTAAATTCCTCTGCTTTCTGGCTGAGGTTTTGGTCTGGTAGCATGAGTCGGAGTCTACATCCCATGCAACTGTCTCAGTGCAGATCATTTAGGAGTGCACATTTATGCGAGCTGTGGCAAGAAGGTTTGCTGTGTCAATCAGCATCATTCCCAGAGCAGGGAGGCACTACCAGGAGACCGGCCATTACATCAGGAGACGTGGAAGAGGTCGTAGCAGGGCAACAACCCTGCAGCAGGACTGCTACCAACGTCTTTGTGCAAGGAGGAACAGGAGGAGCAATGCCAGAGCCCTGGGAAATTACCTCTAGCAGGCCACAAATGTGCATGTGTCTGCAAAAATTATCAGAAACACACTCCATGAGGACGTTTGGCATTTGCCTGAGAAAACCAAGATTGGCAAATTTGCCACTGGGGCCCTGTTCTCTTCACACTGAGGACATGTGACAGAGTCTGGAGACGCCATGGAGAGAGTTCTACTGCCTGCAACGTCCTCTAGCATGACCACTTCTTTAGGGGGGTGGATGCTTTCGTCCAAGTCTAGGAAGAGAACCCTCAGGGGACCATCCGCCACCTCATCAGGAACATGCCCAGGCATTGTAGGGCAGTCACAAAGGCACGTATTTTGGCTTGTTTTAAGGACATTACATTAAAGTTGGATCCGCCTGTTGTGCGTTTTTGAGTTTGACTCCAAATCCAGACCTCCATGGGTTGATAAATTAGATTTACAATGATTATTTTTGTGTGATTTTGTATTCAGCACATTCACCTATGTAAAGCAGACTATTTAATGAGAATATTTGATTAATTCAGATCTAGGATGTGTTATTTTAGTGTTTAGTTACTGATGTTTGCTGCTTGGGATTTAACCCAATTAGAAAATTATACTCCTCCAACTTTCTAATCCTGGAAAGGTTTCATTTCTGAATTAGCATTATATTAAATACAAATATAATGAAAACATGTAAAGAAACGCATCAGTTTGTTAACACAAATAGGTGCCTAGGTTTAAATGCTTGTGTGAAGTTAATTGTTTTCATTCAGTTCAAAGGGTAGCTGCTCCTGTCCTATTGAGTTTTATTGACTCTTTCTTCTACTCCTCATTCCCTCTTTAATCTGACTAATTGCAGATTGTGTACTTTACCCACTAAGACCGAACTGTGTTTTGTAAACTTTAATTCAACAACTCTGAATCCATGAAGGGTGACATCCGACTACTCTTGTCGTCAAAGAAAATGAGACCCAGTGAATAACACACTTTGTGTTACGGGATAAAGAGAAGCCCAGCCTGTTAACTAACATATTAAAAAGCTCCCCCATGTCAAGTATATGGCAGATTTCTTTATGTACGTTTGAAAGCACGAGTCTTGTTTTTTTTAAGAATGTCTATAGATGTAGACTTTTAACATCAACCATCTACGTTTGGTCTTCGCTAAACTGGAGACGTCACAGAGCTGCAAGACTTAAAGTAAAAACACAAGACAAAAAACAAAATAAAGAAAATAAAAACACCGGCGGCCCTGGGGACGCAGGGACAGACGACTGTCTGGACGTGCAATCTAGCTGCTGTGTAATTACAGCCACAACCACTAAAATACCTACTGCGGAAACTAAACTCACCCATGGCGGGGAAGCGGAGCGGACAAGCTATGCTGCTTCTTCCGATTGGTTGGTGACATTAGTAACTTGAAACGACTGAGAAATTCTCTGGATGAACACCATTGTCTGTTCGCTGGTGCTGCACAAGCTTCAGAAAATGTTCTAGGCAACTAACAACTTCGAAACAAAAAGACAAAAAACACTTCATTCTCCACCTGCTTGTCTTCGCTGTGAAGGTTATTTCCGACATGAGCGCACAATAGCTTCTATTTCTAAAAAATATGCTCTTATGAGATTGATGTGTGCCCTGATAAAAAGAATAAACTATTTTTTAATAGTTTATTCTTATATAAGAAACTGTTCAAAAATAATACATTGTTTGACCAACGTGCGCTCTGTATATCCTTCAAATGACACTTCTTGTGGCCGCTGTGTTGATCTTGCTGATCGTTTCAAATTATCAGAGCAGGGCTGTGATAAGGACTGTGTTTTGATGTTAGAATGTGAACAGCAACATGAGCTACACGGACACACTTCAGTCACTCAGTGTTTTACTATTGTTTCTGTTAAACTCTCCATTGTCATGCAGCTCAGCCACACAGCTTGCCTTTCAGCTTAAAAAAATTGTTAAGAAACTGTTGTACCACCTTAGAGTTGTATTCATGAGTAATTCCACAGGATTCCTTGAACAAAAAAAGAATTTAAAAAAGTTTTCTGGAAAAACAAAAAAAAATTAAAAAAGAAGGGGAAAAAACAACTTGCAAGTGTGGACCAAAAAAGGGCTGATTTTCTCAGTTG